GGGCATGGAGGGTGGGGGGCGTAGATCAGATGGCACAGATCTGCTGTTCTTACTGATACTTAGTATAAGTTCTTGAATACATGTTTCCTTATAATCCATTTCAACTTCCTTCTTGCTTCTCTGGGAACACAAGAGATTTTCGAAGTTCCTTAACTGGATCACCTTATAATGACTCAGTTTTAAGTTATAATCTCAATTACTAACCCCAGCATTAGATGGGCCATGAGCGGTGACCTCACTAGCGACTTAAAGCTCCCACAGCCACTGGTACATCTCTCCCTGGGCTGCTCAGGCCCCAGAACACAGGTTAGGCTCCGGCTTCCAGGCCCTTTATTTCTGGCCAGGAATTTTTAAACAATGAGTTTGGAGGGAAAAAATGTAAGCTGTTTTTAGAGAATTTACATTAGTCACAGATGAAGAGTTTGGGGGAAGTTGAGGCAGGGCTAGTTCTGGGATGGGTGCATTGTCCATAAGGAAGAAATATTTGCTCCTTTGGATTGGTTGTGGACAAAAGTTCAAAAAGTTCATCTATAATAATAAAAGTGTAATATGCTAATTAGACCCATCCTTCCAGACAAAGCCGAGGCAGAAGCCCCTTAGTTGTGATGGTGGTGGGCAGGGGCTGAGGCGGTTGGTGAGTGGGGAGTGGGGGGGCAGAGGGCAAGGCATAGGTGGCAGCAGTCAGTGGTGGGATGAAGGCCCTTGCATGAATTTATTGCATCAGGCCTCTAGTGAGTAAATAAAAAGACAGCAGAGTCTGCCCAGGTAATTCAACATTCATTCAGGAATGTGAGCAGTCTTTCGTTGTCTTTGCCATTCAGTAGTTAACTGATAAACTTCTCTTGTCTCTTCCTTCCACCCACAAGCCTGCTGGAATTTAATTTAGGATGTCTCAGAATTTTCTCCTAATCAGCAGCCAGTGCTGTCTGGGCTGGGCCCAGACTCTCTCCTCCAGACTCGGAATTGCCCCCTCCCCCCACCATCTCCACCCCTAGCAACAGGCCACTCCGAGTCTGTCCCATGACTAGCATCCAGGTTCCCCTTTTCTCTCCTTAGCCCAAGGAGCTGTGGGGTGTGATGGAGGAGGGGAGCTTCCTGCCGCTGGCCCATCCCCCCAAGGCCCTAACCTCAGGTTCCTCCTTCCCCAGCCCCAGCCCCAGCCCTCCTGCATCAGGCCTCTAGTGAGTAAATAAGAGTTTTTGTCTTCTACCTCAGTCTTCACTTCTGGCCACTTACTTATTTGGTAGAGCAGCCCAACCCAGCCCATTGGGCCTGCCTCATCCCAACCTCTAATCTTGTGTCTGTGATGTGTGTGTCTGTCTCACTGTCTGTTCCTCTCCCTCTTTCTCTTTTACCATCATTTTCTCCTCAATCATATAATATATATAATTGATTTCGGAGAAGAAGGGAGAGGAAGAGAGAGATAGAAACATTAATAATGAGAGAGCATCATTGATCGGCTGCTTCCTACTGGGGATCAAATCTGAAACCTGGGCATGCGCCTTGACCGGAATGGAACCCAAGACCCTTTGGTCCACAGGCCAATGCTCTATCCACTGAGCCCAACTGGCTAGGGGTCCTCTATCTTTTATCTTGGTTCTTTTTGCTTTCTCTCTGTGGGTCAAATATCTGTCTTTGGTTTCTGGGTTCCATTTCCACCTTTTTTTGTTGTGTGACCTTGGGCAAGTATCTTGGTTATTCCGTAAAATGGGAATAATAAGAGCATCTATGTCCGAAGGGTATTGTGGGGGTTAAGTGAGTTAACACTTGGGCAGAGTGCCTGCACATTAGTGCCCATGTCCTGATGGCTCTTTTTTAATATGCTCTGAATATCACAAGGTTCGAATTGTCTAATGATTACAGCTGGTGCTTATAAAATGCTGACAAGTGTCAGTCCCTGTTCTAGAAACATTAATTCATTTGATCCCACAATTACCCTCAAAGTAGGTACTATATACTCCCCATTTTACTTGTATAAATGAGGAAACAGGCCGAGAGACTGAATGACTTGCTCAAGATTGCCCAGCCAGGAAGAGGCAGAACTGGCTTCAACCATAGTCAGCCACTGATCCTCCTGTTACAATGTCTGACCCTTGACTGGGAAGGAGGTTGAGTTGATATACTAGTATGTACCCTTTCCCTTCATGTCCAGCCAATGGGGGCTATAGCATTGCCCCTGGGATGTCTGGGCCTGATTCTTTCCGGTGTTATCTATCTCTGTCCCTCCCTCCCTACTGTCCCCTCCTCCTCCTGCCACCACCCACCTCAGACTTCCTCCTTCACTTGGTTGGCCACATCCTACTGACCCTCAGACTGTAGTATCCAGCAGTGCCGCCTGCATCATGGGTGGCCTTAGACTCTTCAACAGGCTTCTGATCCTGCCTCTCCTTCTGACTGTGGGTGGTGAGTTGGGGGCTTCTGAAGCTGCCTTCTGAGCCCCTGGGCTCATCTTGGGGCAAGGCAGGGAACAGGGTGGAAAGAGAACCAAAGGGGAAGGGACAGGAGTGGTCCCCAGCTCCCAAAACCCTATGGGTCTCTCCAAGCACCTGAAACTCCAATATTTGGCTTCTAGTAGAAGCCAGCAGAGGGGCCGCAGAGGGTGGTGTAAAAGGATAAGTCAGTGTAGAAGGATAAGTCAGCCACAGGTCTTACCAGAAGTTGCTCTCTACCCTAGCTCCCTGGCTGTCAGGACCCACCCTCCCAGCTTCTATGACAACTCAGTTTACTTTCTTTTTCTTTCTTCAGGTCTCAGCCCTGTCCAGTCCCAGAGCGGTAGGCCTAGACCCTGAAATACCCCTTCCTATTTCTGAAAGGCTCCCCATTTCTTCCCAATCTCTTCCAACTCCCCCTGACACCACCTCCCAATTCCCTACTCCCATTGACCTCCTCTGACTCCTGTCCATATACATCCCCAGATTGCAACTGCTCTGTGGTGAGCCCTGGTGTGCTGGCTGGTATTGTGCTGGGGGACCTGGTACTTACCCTCCTCATCGCTCTGGCTGTATACTCTCTGGGCCGGCTGGTCCCTCGGGGGCGAGGGGCTGTGGAGGGTGAGTGGGACTGGATGGGGATGGGATGCTGAGGACTTGCCTGGAGGGGAGGGGTAAGCTCCCAAGTCACAATTATCCAAGGGGATGGTGATGGTTTCACATCAACTAAATAATCCCAATTTACCACCTTGTGTGCCTCTGCACCTGTGCCACTCTCCACCCCCAGCAGTGAACCGGAAACAGCGCATCACTGAGACAGAGTCACCTTACCAGGTGAGGAAACCAGCTTCTCTTCCTTCTGTCTCATTCCTGCCCTGTGCATGTCAGTCGTAAACAACTCCCACCCAAGTCCCTCTAGCACCTAGACCCTAAAGCCAGTTTCTCAGCAGCTTCTCAAACCCTTGAAGACTAATGGGGCATCTGTCCAAAACTAATTTCAATGATCAATCATGAACTTTTATGCTCAGCTTAAAATGTGTGGAGAGAAACGTCTAGGGATGGTTTGTCTGCAAAGGCAAATGCAGGCCTTAGCCAGAAGGCAGTCTCCAAATTGTTCTGGAAAAGCCTGGACCAGGACAGGCTAATTTGCAGAAGCTCTCACCAAAGCTTATAATTCAGCCTTAGCTTGGTAACTCTAAAGACTTTGGGGTTGGGAGCTTGGGGGTTGGGATCCTGCATCCCTTTGAAAAGCTAATGAAATTTGGAGACTCTTTAGAATAATCCATACAAAAAAATATAAAATTGTGCATATAATCTAGGAGTGGTGCAAATAAGATCATATCCTTGAAACCCTTTTTTTAAGAACTGTAATATAAATAGAGGCATCTTTCCATTCCTGCCTCTCAACATCGTTCTTAACCTCTAAGGGGTCATGAGCTCTTCTATGAATCTAACGAAGCCAAACATACCCCTCTCCAGAAAGATGCACACCCAGACTGGCCATATGCAGATATGATGCTTGCCTTTTGGGGCCAAAGACCCTCCCTCAGTAACTGTGAGCCCTAGTCTGTAAAATTTTTTACTTGTCTACAACCAGCTTTGCCTTGCCTCACTTGTGATAAAAAGTCTCTTTGTAAAGTGTAAGATCTTGAGTCTCGCTCTGTGAGGTCCATAAGACTGAAGGAGCTTTCCAGTTACTGGGAGCAGTGAAATATTAGGCAAAGCATTGCTTCACTTTATTTGTTGAGTGCCTACACGAATTAGATACTGAAGACATAGCTGCAGAGCTTACATCCTAGTTGGGGAAACAGACTTGAAGCAAATAAATAAGATCACTTGGGGTGTGGGGGGAAGAAACTACAGATGAAGAAATCAAGAAATGCCTTTCTGAGGAAGTGCTATGAGCTAAGACTTGAAGGGGAGGATGGAATCATCCATGGGAATACTTAGGGGACCAGTATTCTAAGCAGAGAAACAGTATGTGCAATAGCTCTGAGGCTGGGGCCTAATGATGAGGCAGAGGGGAAAGGGGAACTTTGAAGATATCTGAATAAAACCTAGATTTCTAACATGGCTGCAAGGTTAAAGAAGTCACCGGGGTCTTGCAGGCCACTGGGAGAAGGTTGGATTTTGTTTTAAGTTCATTTGGCAGACCCCTTCCACTAATGGTTGCCACCCTGTCCAAACCTTTAGGAGCTCCAAGGTCAGAGGTCAGACGTCTACAGTGACCTCAACACACAGAGGCAGTATTACAAATGAGCCCAAACCATGGCAGTCAACAACCCAATGTCTGGATCCAGCCATTCCTGATGCCTGCTCAGCACCCTATTCCTACTCCCACAAAGTACCAATCTACAGAGTAGCCTCTCTGAGATATCAGACTTTCCCTGTCCCCTACCCCCTGCCCCCAAATAAACATGGAACACAAAACACTATTGAGTTATTGCAGTTCTCTGGGCTGAGGGGATGGGGATATTTGGTTCTGGGAGGGTAGGTCATGGACCCAGAAACAGTTAAATGGGAGGGAGGCTTTGGGGATCCTGGGTTCTTTGAGGAAGAATTAGAAGTAGAGGTATTTTGGTTGCTTTATTGACGTTGAATAGGTTTCCTGTGCCACCACGCACAATCCAGGACCTCTGAAAAATACTGCGGGTATTCCAGAAGTCAGAGGTCCCAGTTACAGGAGGTCAGCCCCTACCAGGCATGTTGATGTAGACTTTGCCATCTTCTGGAGGTGGGGAAAAGAAAGCATGAGGCCTGACCACCCACCACCCACCCACACCTCCACCTCCTCGGGGACCTCCTGCTTCAGGGGTTTCCTCAGGAGTTCCCCCAGCAGGGCCCCCAGGGTTTCCCCAGCAGCACCTCTAGGGCTTCCCCCAGGGGACCCCTCAATGGGGACCTCTTCCCTAGGGACACCACCCCCAGTCCAGGCCCTGCCCTCACCTTGGGTGGGCCTGTCACGTGGTCTGGCACATATAAACACCACCACCACGATTAGCAGAGACACCACAGCATCAGCAGCCACAAGGCCTGCCAGGAGTGGCAGGGGGAGGGGACCACATCCGGAACAGGAACCTGGAGGGTGGGGGTCAAAATAAGGTGGCTGAGGGGGATTCCAGGCTTTGAGGGCTATGCTGTGGGCATATGGGCAGAAGCCCCTGATGGGTGACCAATTCCCTGGGGTTGCACATGGGGGGGGGGGGGGAGATGGAGATCCAGAGAGAGGGTATTCAAGCATATTGAGACATATGCGAGGCTTTGGGCATAGTGGGCACTCCCGAAGAGAGGCTGGGGTTGGCCAAGTCCCTGGGGCTTCGAATTGCTGCAGAGATGGGAATCTGGAGAGCCACTGCGGGTATTCCAGGATCCTCAAGCTATAATTTAGGGATGGAAACAGTACCTGATGTAGCATGGCAAAGGGGAAGGAGTTTTGATTTCTCACCTGGAGCTATCTGAGCTGCAGCCACTGTGGGAAGAGAGAGAACATAATCGGTGGGAGAGGTGGTCCCCAAAATAGAGTGCAGGGAAAGGTGATGTGCTGAGAAGCTCCACTCCAAAAGATCAAATGAGAAAGAGCGGCCAAATGGTAGGGGAGCTCCCAGAAAAGCAGAGACAGGAAATCAGAAGCAGAGATCCAGCAGTGAGAGGGGGAGATTAATAGGTAGGCACTCCAGAACTCAGCTTCCCTCCCCAAAGAACCAAGCCCAGAAGCCAAATGGATCTCCCAGAAAAGAAGGGGCACTGGGAGAAGGATCTGCTCTCAGCACCCCTCCCTTCAGATGCCACCCCAGCCACTTCTTTCACCAATAGTCACTCCCCCACCCCACCCCCACCCCCAGCCCCACCGATAACTGCTGGCTTCACCTGGGAGCAAAAGCAGGAGCAGGATGTTGCCTGGAAGGAGCATGGTTGGGGGCTGGAAGGGATTTGGTCCAGAGAGGTTCTGAGGAAGAGTGGGGGAGTAGAGAGACAGCAAAAGCGGATGTCACCCTGCTGGTAGCAAGGCCAACTGCTGCTTCCTGTGGGGGTGGAGGCAGGCGGGGGAGGGGGGAAATGAAGGGAGGGAAGAAGTGGTGGGTCCTTCTGACTGCCTTTGGGGACAAACTGGGGGGAGAGACAGAGACTAGGGAAGTTATGATTGTCCAGGTGGGAGGTAACAGGTTGGCCAGGGTGTGGGCACTGGACTGTGGAAAGATTTGGGAGGTAGAGCCAACAAAACTTGTAGATGGAGTAGATAAGGTTGTGTGTGTGTGTGAGAGAGAGAGAGAGAAAGAGAGAGAGAGAGAGAGAGAGAGAGAGAGAGAGAGAGAGAGAGAGAGAGAGAGAGATATCCAGGATGACCAAAGCTTATGGCTTAAGCAACTGAAAAGGTGGAGCATCCTTTGACAGGATGGGGGAGGGGAAGCAGTTATGGGGGCAGGGGGAAGGTAAGTATTGGAGGTTAGAGTACACTGAGTTGGAAATGCCTGATAGATCTTCCTGTGGAGAAATTGAATGACCACAGATGCCTCAGGGGCTGAATCTCACCTGTAGATGTAAATTTGGGGGTTGATGGCTTATGAATGGTTTTAAAGTCACCAGATTGGATAAGATTGTCAAGGAAGTGAGTACAGATGGAGACCTCCCAACACTCACACATCTCCCCCACCCCTCCAAAAATGCTAAAGAGGAAGAAACAGCCAAGGAAACTGAGGAGCAGCAAATGGAGAACCCCAGCAGAGCATGAAAGCAGGGGAGCCAGGCAGTTAACATTGTCCATCAGTGCTGTGAACAAGCACCAAGCTGGGAGCTGAGAAAGCCTCTCCCTGGAGTCAGTCAGCTTGCGCGGGGGAATTGCGGCCTTAGTTCACAGCTGAACACAGCACCCGGCAAAGTGCTTCCCCTGCGGTAATACGTTATTTTAAATGAATGTATGAGAACTGACCTCTGAAAAAGAGGGGGGGGGGGGGGATTTGAGTCTACCTTTATCACTATTACCTGCAGACATTTCCTCCCTGGAGACCAGGAAGTCCGGACCCCCAGGCCTCTCCTCCCCCAGGACCCAGTACTACAGCCCCACCGCGGCCCAGCCTAAAAGTCGCGGTCTCCAGCACCCCCAGGTCAGAGACGAAGTCCAGGCCTCCAAGGCCCTCCGTCAGGAGTCCAAAATCCCAGCCCCTTTTTTCCTCAGACCAGGGTATGGAGCCCCACTCTCTGGATACGTTGGGGTCGGGGCTCAAGGTCAGCACAGCCCCTTCAGGGCCTGTGTTTGCCAGAGCGAGACGCGGGGACTCCCGGGCTGTGGGCGGGGCCACCAGGACGGGCGGCGCCAGACCCCATTTAAACACTCGAGGCTAGCGGGACCCAGGATCGGGGACCCAGCGGCGGTGGCTGCGCGGGTAACAGCGAGGCTGGCGCAGCGCCGAGGCCGGGGCCCTGGGGGCCCGCAGTCCGCCCAGCGGAACCCCAGAGGTAATGGAGGGTGGAGGAGTGAGGGGCTGGGAGTCGGACTCGAAACCCTGGGTCCTGAGACTGAGGGTGCCCGGTGTTTGGAGGGGAGACTGGGCCGGCATTCCGGGGTCGAGCTAGAGGAGCGCTTGCGCTTCTGGACTCCAGCGCGCGGGGGGAGGGGACTGGGATCAGGGCTCCTGGGCGCGGGGGAAGGGGACCGGGATCAGGGCTCCTGGGCGCGGGGGGAGGGGACTGGGATCAGGGCTCCTGGGCGCGGGGGAAGGGGACCGGGATCAGGGCTCCTGGGCGCGGGGGGAGGGGACCGGGATCAGGGCTCCTGGGCGCGGGGGGAGGGGACTGGGATCAGGGCTCCTGGGCGCGGGGGGAGGGGACTGGGATCAGGGCTCCTGGGCGCGGGGGGAGGGGACCGGGATCAGGGCTCCTCGGCGCGGGGGGAGGGGACCGGGATCAGGGCTCCTGGGCGCGGGGGGAGGGGACCGGGATCAGGGCTTCTGGGCGCCGGGGGAGAGGGGCTGGCGGCCGGATTCCTTCCCCTAGAAATCCCTGGCGGAATGGGCGCCTGGGGGCGTGGTGGTTTAATTCAGCCACGGGTCTCGGTGGGAAAGGTCGCGCCCGGCCGCAGGGTCTGTGCGGGCGATGCCTGCGCCCCCTCCCCCACCCGAGACTTCCCAGTCGGCCTACCCCCTCCGTCCCGGCACCGAGGCTGGAGGGGAATTCCCCTCGCGTGGGGATTCCGCGGGCGCCAAGCTCGGCCGCCCGCCCCGCCTCCGAGCGGACACCTGGCTCCGCGGCGGGAAGGGGAAGCGGAAGGTTCCCTTGCGTGTGCGCCGTGGCGTCAGCGCGTCGCGGCGTCAGAGCGTCGCCCCCGAGCGGCTTCCGAGTCCGGCCGCCCCCGCTCTCTTAACCCTTCCTCGGCTGGAACCCGGAGGGAGGGTGCGGAACTCCTGGGTTTTCCCGAGGCTGAGGGGGCGGGCCTGCCCCTCGGCCTCCCAGGAGCTGGGGACAGTGGCTGGCGGTGACCCCGGAGAGCGCTGGGAGGCCTGGTTTCCCGCGGAGGATCAGGGCGGCTTGTTGGGAGGAGACGTTGGGAACCTGGGCCCGGGCTGTGATGCCAGACAACCCCCGAGGCCTCAGGACCTGGAGGTCTGGAGGGGGGAATTTTTTGCGGAAGTCGTGGGGGGGTGGCAGAGGGCATCCTCCTCCCCCGTCCTCAGTTTCCACGACGCTGGTGGAAAGTTGGCTCAGAGGGGAAAGTGCGGAGCAAAAGGAAGGAAACAGCGGGGGTGGGCGCCGCACCCGAAACCGTAGATTGGTTTTGGAGTTCTCGGGTGACATCAGTGTGCCAGTTCTCCCGTGCGGGACAGCGAGGAGCGGCTCAAATCCCCAGACCCCAACTTGTGTTCTGATGACTTCTCTCCCCTCTACACCCCTTCACCCTCCCCTCCTCCCCGCAGTGAGCCGTCATGAGCGCAGCCACTGCCCATCGCAGACGGTGAAAAAGCTCCTGGAAGAACAGAGGCGCCGCCAGCAGCAGCCTGACGCCGGTGGGGCACCGGTGAGGCCCATGAAGCCCTATCCACTGCTCTCGGGAGGCCCTGTCCTATTGGGCGGGGGCTTGTGGCTTGCTGGGCCCTCAGGAATGATGAGATGCAGTCCTGCCTTAGACATTCTGGAGCTGGGGAGCAGATGTTGAAGAATCTCCAGAGAAATTCAACCATGTTCCTTTTTCCTTATGTCTCTACAGGGACAGTTCCCCCCTCCCCTGGCCCAGCCCCTGATCCCATCTGTGAACGAGGGGGAGGTTGGTAAGTCTGGAAACTCACCTGCTTCCTTCAGCTCCCAGCTCCAGCTTCTTCTGGGACTCACATCCCCACTCTTAGAACTTGGGGGAACTTTAGGAGTCAGGCCCTGATTCTTGCCAGGACCCAGGGGAAGTTTGATCTTCCAGAGATTTTCTGCAGCCCAGTAGTCTAAGCATACAGTCCTTTGGTGCCCAGGGGCCTCCCAGCCTTTCTGGGAGTCTAGACGCTCAACCCCTCAGCATCCTAGGAGTCCAGGTCCCAGAAGTCCAGCCTTCCAACCCCTTGGTGTCCCAGAATTCTAAGCCCAGAAGTACAAGGTACTTTCAGTACCTTGGGAGATTCCAGGTCCTCACACAGGTCCTCCAGTCTTGGCTATGACTTTCCTAACTTTGGTAACCAGACCCGCCCCTGCTCCTCCTCTCACCTGCAGGCCATACTCACTTCCCAGGCCACCAGGAGGCTGTAGGTTCTGGACTTGGCAGCCTGGCCCCGACCACAGGCCTTCCAGACTGGAGCCCCAACACCCATGCTGCCTACACAGACAGTGCCTACTCTTATCCTACTTCTGCTGCTGAAAGTTTCCTGACTTCTGACTTCTGCCCATTCTCGGACCCAGGGCAGCCATATCCATTTCTCCTGGGGATGGAGGTGAGATACAGAGTGGGAACAGAATGCTGAAGGGCCCCCAAAGTTCCCGGTTACCTTCATGCAGTATTCTGAGTTGTCTGGGCCTGGGTTAAGATCCAGTTCCTCAGATAGGCAAAACTAAGGCCCAAAGGTCTAAGTTCACTTGGCACAGATGGGACACGCAGCCCCTTTACCTGGTTCTCTGAATGAGTTTGTGTGTGGTGGGATGGGTTGGGAAGAGGGAATCCTCAGCTGACTGCCTCTCCTCACCACCTGCCCCCTTCAGGACCCCCTGGATACCCAGCTTTATGCAGAACCTTCCCTGCCACAGGTGGGATCCTGGAAAGGTTCTGGACTCCCTTCGCGACCCCCTCAGTTACCCTCTTTGGTCACTGGACCATCCCTGGACACAGCTCGTGCTCATATGCTGGCCTTGGGGCCACAGCGGCTACTGGCCCAAGACGAGGAGGGAGACACGTGAGTATAAGAGGATAGAGTCTGTGGGTCATGGCCTGGCTGGGCATCTGTACTAACCACTGTTCCCACCTGTCCTCAGGTTCCTGCACCTGTTCGCAGCTCGGGGGCTGCGTTGGGCAGCATACGCTGCAGCTGAGGTGCTCCAAAAGTACAGACATCTGGACATTCGTGAGCATAAGGGCAAGGTGAGGGCCAAGGGCTTGGATTACTGAATCTGAGGGCGGAGGGTCCGGGGACCTGGATCCTTTGGAAGGGGCCGGGCTCAGTCTGACATCTCATTTCACTTGCAGACTCCTCTCCTGGTGGCTGCTGCTGCCAACCAGCCTCTGATTGTGGAGGATCTACTGAACCTGGGAGCGGAGCCTAATGCTACTGACCATCAGGGACGTTCTGTCTTGCATGTGGCTGCTACCTATGGCCTCCCAGGAGTCCTCTCGGTATGGCTGTGGTGGATGGGGTCATTGATTGCCCATATTATGGCTTCTAGGACTGGGAGGTCTGGGGAGATCCTAATCTAGTTCCTCATTCTCTTCCCAGGCTGTGATTAACTCAGGGGTTCGGGTTGACTTGGAAGCCAGAGACTTTGAGGGTAAGTTGGGTTGTGGGCAGGGCGGGTGCAGCAGTTGGGGCAGGGTGGGTGCTCCAGATGCCAAGCCCTCACTGTCTCTATTCCACAGGACTCACCCCCCTCCATACAGCCATCCTGGCTCTCAACGTTGCTATGGTCTCACCTGACCCCTGTCCCCGGGTGCTGAGTATTCAGGCCCGAGACCGGCTGTCTTGCGTCCAAATGTTGCTGCATATGGGTGCTGACCACACCAGCCAGGTGAGCTGGGTTATGGGAAGCCAGTCCCTAGGAGGACTTGGGGGATGAGGGCATTTGGATGCCCAGGGGCTCCAAACAAACACTGGTGTTATCTCTTCCCAGCTGCGTGTCCATGTCTGGGAGCACATTACTTCATTTCTTTGCGCCCAGTTGTCAACTGGAAGTGATGTTGACCTGAGCTTATATTTATCATGCACTGAATTTCATAGGGCATTGAATTCTCACAAACCCCGTTTAATGCATGTGCTGTTATTTCTCTATTTTACTGATAAAGAGACTGAAGCACAAGATGTCAAGAATCTTTTTTTTTTTCCTTTTTAAATATTTTATTGATTTTTTTACAGAGAGGAAGGGAGAGATATAGAGAGCTAGAAACGTCAGTGAGAGAGAAACATCAACCAGCTGCCTCCTGCACACCCCCCACTGGGGATGTGCCCACAACTCAGGTACATGCCCTTGACCGGAATCGAACCCGGGAACCTTCAGTCCACAGACCGACGCTCTACCACTGAGCCAAACCGGTTTCGGCAAGATGTCAAAAATCTTATAGCTTGTGAGTGTCAGAGAGATTAGACCCAGGAAGTCTGATCCCAGAATTGAGCTCTTAATTGTTATATTATCCTCTCACTTTATGAGCTAGCTGAGATAATTAAACATCCACATATACTTTTGGAGTTGTTTTTTATTGTTGTTGTTGTTGTTAAATTTTAACATAGATAAATACAGAAAATAATATAATGAACTTAAAGTACCAAACAAACATCAGTAATATGCAACTCATAGCCAGTCTGCCCCATCTATTCCTCCACTTAGCTATATTACTTTTAAGCAAATCCAAGCAAGTTTATCTATAAATATTTTTGTATCTTTAAAATCATTATTCCACCTTAAAAATAATGAACAATTATTTTTATTTTTATTTCATGTCAATTATTCTAGCTTCATTCAAATTTCGTTTGTCTCTAAAGTAACATACATTTTTTTTCATTAAAAGACACATAGATCAAAATAAAGCTCACATATTGCAATATGTTTGTTTGAATTTATTTTTAATTGATTTTAGAGAAAGGAAGGAAGATAGAAACATCAGTTGGTTGCCTCCCACTGGGCAACCGGCAACCATTTGGTGCACAGGATGGTGCTCAACCAACTGAGTCACACCAGCCAGGAAGCAATGATAATGCCTTTTAAGTCACTCTTAATAGAGAGCTTCCCCCTCCATCTCTGTTTTCTCTTCATAATTTATTTGGTGAGCCAACTAGGTTGTTTTGCTCTGTATAAATACCTAACATTTTTAATGTTTATTATCACTCTTTAAAGGCACATATTAAAGTTTCTTGTGGAAAAAGGCTTACTTTACTTCAAAAGTGAGAATAGCTTAATATGGAAATGGGTAAAGGCTTAGTTTAGTCCACTAAGTAATGTTGCTCAACTCCCATCCTTGTAATAGATAAAGTGCCACCCATATAAGATTTAGGTACAATTTACTATGCCTAAAAGAATGTGGGGTGGCCAAGAAAGCTGCTAGCCGAGAGAACACCTTGGAGGATTAGAAAGAAGCCTTTTGTTAGACACTTGGGTTGGAAATTTATCTTAATAAATGTAAGGTTCTGTGATTTGTGTGATATGAATGGCACTCCCTTAAACTTTTAAATAGTGCACAGTCCATACAACTGTATAAGGCAGCCCTTATACAGAGGAGAGGCAGGATGTCTACAGGCTCTTGGGCTCTGATAGGGGGCCTGAGTGTGAGGACTGGACTGACCTCACCTATACCCCTCCCCACAGGAGATCAAGAGCAACAAGACTGTTCTGCATTTGGCTGTGCAGGCTGCCAACACCATCCTAGTTCAGCTGCTGCTGGAGCTGCCACAAGGAGACCTGAGGGCCTTTGTCAACATGAAGGTAGGGTTCTAGTCAAGAATGTGGAGATTAAGAAATGACAGAGACGGCAGTGGGATGTTGGGGGTCCTCTGGGCTGTGACTGCAGGGGGAACATTGTAGGTTCTGGAATGTGAAAGTGGTGTTTGGGATGTCTATGTGAAGGGAGAAATGTGCACTGTGGATGTTGCAGAATGTGGTTTTGAGGGCTCAGGTTGGCTGAGTCTGAATCCTTATTAGTCCTCCCCTCACTGTCCCCAGGCCCATGGGAACACAGCCCTCCACATGGCAGCTGCCCTGCCTCCTGGGCCACACCAGGAGGCCATAGTGCGTCACCTGTTGGCAGCCGGGGCAGATCCAGCATTGAGAAACCTGGAGAATGAGCAGCCCATCCACTTGTTGCGGCCTGGGCCGGGCCCTGAGGGGGTGAGCATTGAGTGACCTCTGACCTAACTGGGTAACCCCTGACCCTACACATTCATGATCTTAGAGGAAATCTCAGAGGTGATCTTAACCAACCCTGACCTCAAAATATGACTTCTACTTATAACCCTGAATGCTGACCTCAGGGAATAACCTTTGATTCGCAAGTATGACCTCCAATCCCTTGCCCATAATCCTGAATCCTGATATCAAAGTGGGACTCCTGACCCCCAAATGGGACCTCTGGCCCCATGTCCCTACCCTTCAACTCCCAGCCCTCTATGCAAACCCAAAGGAGGGAAGTCCAATCAGCAACAGCTTCCCTTTATCCCCAGCTCTGGCTCTGAGCCTTTTTACCCTCAATTCCAAATCTTGACTGAACCTCTGAATGTCAAACCCAAATGACCCCACTCCAACTTCACCAGCTGTGCCTCCCCCTTGCAACCTCCAAGTCACCTCCTTCTGCCTTGTCTTGTTCACAGCTCCGGCAGCTGTTGAAGAGGAGCCGCGTGGCACCCCAAGGCCTGTCCTCTTAGGACTCAAAACCCAGAACCTGGACTGATTTTCCAGTCCCCACCGTCCTGTGGGACAGCCAGCGTATGCTAATGTTGCAAATCCATGATAATGTATGTGGAATGTCCTGCCATTGGGGTTTTACATTAAAACCTCAAAGTGGCTGCTGTGGTGGGAGTAAACAGTCCCCAATATTTGGGGTGATGTACTATCCCTCTCCCACCCATAAGGAGCCCCCTTGATGATTTCTGTGAAATTGAAGCCCCTTGATTGTTTCTGTGAAACACCCTGAACACCTACCCCTATCCTCACTTAGCTCTTCACACCCGGAACCTGAGATGCAATTCCCCTACATGGTACTTGGGGCATCCCAAAACAACTCCCAGTATTATCCCAAAAGAGTTCTTAAGATGAACCCCCAACCTCTTCAGGTCTTTAACCTTAGGTCCTACTGCTTTCTAATTCAGAATTCAACCAAACCCCTATCTCAGACCTTTGCATTTCCAATGAATCTCTTTATGAAACTCCCTATTAAACTCAATTTGGGCCCGGCTGGTTTGGCTCAGTGATTGAGCCTTGACCTATGAACCAAGAGGTCACCACTTTGATTCCTGGTCAGGGTCCCCAGTAGAGGGCCTGTAGGAGGCAGCCGATGAATGATATTTATCATTGATGTTTCTATCTCTCTGTCTCCCTCTCTAAAAATTAAATAAAAACAGATTTAAACTCAATTTGGACTAGAACTGTTGTCATCTCATCTCCGGAGGCACTGGTGTTGGGAGTGCCTAGCTGAGAAGTAGTGTTCGGGTGAATGTGCCTGTGTGGCTGCATGTAGCAGATACTGTGGGTGCCAAGTCCATGTCTCATCACCCACTCCCTGTCAATACATGGTGGTTTGAGTACCAGTGCCAGCACATGAAGCTTTGCCTGGGCATTCTCCGACCCTTGGTGCCTGCAATGCCCCAGATATGAACATGGCAAGCCTTCAGTGCCAGGGAATTCATGCAACTTCCCACTCTTAACAGCCCTCAGCCAGTGACTTTCATGTTTTTGTTACCATAAATTATCCTTTTTTATGCTGTGCATTTATTTCCAAATTGCAGTAGCAATTGTCCTTTATTTTAATACTTTTACCTCTTTTAACATTTATGTTATATTTAAGAGTTTAATATCCTATTGTGAGCAAGAGTTGCAGTTTCCTGCTTCTGTCTGTTAGTCATCTTACAGTTTTATGTCCTTCTGTCCTTTTGTTTTCAGGTAAATCAGCACCTTTTAGCATTACTTGTAATGCAAGTAAATTCCCTCAGCTTCTGTTTGTCTGGGAAAGTATTTCTCCTTCAGATCTAAAGGATAATTTGCTAGATATATTTTTCTTGGCTGGTGATTTCTCTTTCAATATTTTGAATATTTGATTCCATTCTCTCCTAGCTTGTAGAGTTTCTGCTGAAAATTTTGATGATAATCTAATTGGGTTTCCTTTATAGGTTTCCATCTTTTCTCTGACTGCCTTGAGAATTCTTTCTTTGTCATTAATTTTTGACAGCTTTGCTATAATGTGCTTTGCAGAAGGCCTTTTTATATTGTGATAATTAGGTGTTCTGTTAGCTTCTTTGTCTTGAGGTTCAGTTCTTTCCATAAGTTTGATGAGTTTAATGTCAATTATTTATTTGAATAGACACTCTCTTCCTTTCTCCCTCTCTTCTCCATCTGTTATAACTATTATTTTAAAATTTTTATTTCTAAATTACAATTTACACAATATTATTTTGTATTAGTTTCAGGTGTATAGCATAGTGGTTAGACAATCATATACAGGGCTTCCAGGCAAGATGGTGGCATAGGTAAATGCGGTATTCACATCCTCTCACATGCACATCAAATTTACAACTAAACTATAGAAAAACTATCATTCAAAATTGCCTGAAATCTAGCTGAACAGTCCTATAGCTAAGGATATAAAGAAGAAGCCACCTCAAGATTAGTAGGAGGGGCTGAGACCCAGAACAGGTTGGTCCCACACCCACATTGTGATTAAGAATTGGGAGGGATATCTCAGCTGTGGAGGTACCCTTGAGGAGCAAGAGGTCCCAGCCCAACACCAGATCTCCAGCCTTAGGCTCCAGTACCAGGAATAGAAGTCCTCATTACTTCTGGTTGTAAAAACCAGTGGGGATTATGGCTGTGTGAGGCAGGACTGCTGGAGTCCCTGGTGTTTCTCTTTAAGACTATATATATATTTTTTTTTCTTTTTTTTTTTTTTCTTGTTTTCTTTATGGGTCTGCATACGGACTTACTCAGACTCACTTGTTCTGAGCTCCAGCGCTGGGGCAGCAGCTTGAAAGGAACCAGGGACATACAGGGAGGAACTAAATTGCCTGGCATCATGGCAAGAGCTGGAGGGCAGCTTTCTCCCAGACTGAAGTGCTGGCAGAGGCCATTGTTCCTTTTCTGAGCCCTCCCCCAACAGTCTGCACGCAGGCACCATATCTGAGTCTCCATCAACCTGGCTCTTACTATTACGAAGCGAGTCCCTAAGAGATGAACCACCAGGAGCCAATTTGATTAAGCATGCTAGAGTTTATTACAGATTCGAATCTGGGCTCAAACCTTGGCTGACGCAGCAGCCGGCAAACACCCAGATGAGAGCCCCGATGGAGGGGCAGTCCCTCCTCTTATACCTCTTTTTTCCATCTCATCCCACTGTTGGTCTGTCACTCTCTGATTGGCCCCTCAGGACAAAGAACTGGCTGTCTTTAGCTGTTCCTTAGGTGATTTACACAACCTGGCCTGTCTTTAGCTGTTCCTTAGGTGATTTACACAACCTGGCCTGTTTTGCTTCAAACAGAATGTCTGTTCTGACTCCCAACGGGAGTGCAGGATGCTGCGGTTTTTTATGACCCCAATTTCCCAGCTAGATCCGGAGGGAGGTCTGCATGTCCCACCCCAAAGGAACTCCCAGCACTGCTTTACGACTGACTTTATTTTTTTAAACTTTTCCCCCCTGGCCTGGTCTGTCTCCAGAGTCCTTATCTCTTGGGCAGACTGGGCCAACTGTCACACTTAACTGCCCTTCCCTAGTGATTCCCTGAGACTCTCCTCACCCAACTTGTGGGCCCACCCAAGCTGTTTCCAGTGGCTTTTCCATACAATTGGCCCATCTTGGCTCATCTTTCAGACTTTTTTAAAATCTCTCAAACAAACAGCACCTGGCCTTTGTGTACCCCATACCTCTTTCTAAGTGTCCCCAGGCTGGCACTAGTGGCAGCTGGCCTAAGTTTGCAGCTTGGCCTCTCTTGGGCACCTCCCAGCCCAGCACAAATAGCAATCATTTGAAGATCACTTTGTGGCTCATGCTGGTTGGCCTTGGTCAGAACACAGGTGGCAGTTGATTTTTTGACTACACCTCCCAGGAGGCCCCAGAACCAGTGCACCCAGTAGACACCTTCAAACCACATCAAAGCACCATTCAACAACCTCTATATAAGGTTCTCCCTCCTCCCAACTGGTGGGCGGAGTTATGACATTACTGGCACCTGTCATAGAGACATCTCCAAGACATTGAGCCATCAATCAGCGCCTTCCAAAGTGTCCTGGAGCCCACCCCTTCCTATTCTGCCCTGGGTCCAACCCTCTCCTGTTCCTCCCCTTAAAAAGACCCCCAGACCAGCCACGTGCTGCTGATCCTCCATGTCCAGGTGGCAGCCCAGGTTGGTCCATCTGCCCTCCCAACTCCTTCAATTCTGATTTCTCTACCTCCATAATGAGTCTCGCTCATTACTGGGGAATAAACTTTACTTTAAAACTCCTTGGTCAGTTTCCTGTGCCTCATACCTTACACTCTATAAGCAACATACTCAAGGTAGGGCCTCTGCACATATTCATAGCCAGTTCTTGCAATCAGCCTGGGGGTAAATTCCTCCCATTGATATGCCAAGAGCAACCAAGGCTCAACTACAACAGGAGCATGCACACAACCCATATTGGGTTGGGGGTGGGGGTCTCTCTGGCATGCTCAGTTTAGTTGAATGGGAAGGCTATGCCACTGAACTCTACAAGATACCTGTGTTAATGTAAGAAACATTCAAAGCTGTGAAGAATTTTTTTGTGAGTTTATTTGAGCCAAATTGTCAATAATTACTGAGAAGCAAAATCTCGATGGATTGAGATAATGCTCCAGAGAATGGCAGTTTTGCACCGTTCTATACATTACAATAAAAAGAGGAGATATAAGTGGGTTATATGAAATCCATTGGTGATAGATTAGGGAGGTGGGAGAAAGCAAAGTGGGGAAACCTCTGGGACTAGATAAAAAGTACAATGATAGACACATCTGTGAAAGAAAAGAGCCACATGCTAACCTGAAAGCTCAGGGAAGGCCTGTGTGGCAGTCTTGCAAACCCAGAGACCTAAGATAACCACAAAAGATGGTTTGAAAATTTAATATCTAACTACAAACAGGTTATAGTGGGTAGTCTTGTCCCAGATATTTCACCTGAGCCCGTCTGCCTTCCAGCCTCTAAGATAACTTATCTGTGAGATATCTAGGTAACTTGTAACTTCCTTTTTACCCCGACCCCCTCAGGGCACAACAAATGGCCTGAAGACATTCCCTCATTGTTATTGTTATCAAGTTAATTGTCAACTGTTAATTACCTTAGTTTAGAGTATCCTATATCCATCTCTGTAAAAGAAGCTCATGTCCATCATTTAACCTTTTACCCTATCCCAGAGGTTTCCCAGCTTCGCTCTGTCCCACCTCCCTAATCTATCATCAATGAATTTCATGTAACTCACCTACGTCCCTTTCCTTTAATTGCAATGTATAAATATAGAAATGTAACCCGCCATTCTCCAGAGCATTATCTCAATCCGTTGAGGTTCTGCTTCCCGGCATATCTCAACAGTTTGGCTCAAATATACTCAGTAAAATTCTTTACAGGTTTCAATGATTTTTTTCGTTAATACATCTTTTACTTAGGTAGATGCAGGATAGGTAACAGTTAACTCAATAACAATGATGGGATTTGTGGTCTCTGCATAGCAGTGTCTGTGCTTTGAGAGGTCTAGAAAAAGAAAAATTACCTTAACATTCCAATGATATATGTTATTGTAAATGCAAAAAAGATAATAGGCTCAGTTAAGGTAAAGATTGACCTTTGACAGGGAAAACAATAGTCTAGGACATGACCATCCTCTATAAACTGCTTTATAAATTAAAAATTTTTCAGTTCAGCCGAAACCAGTTTGGCTCAACGGATAGAGTGTCGGCTTGGGGACTGAAGGGTCCCGGGTTCAATTCCAGTCAAGGGCATGTACCTTGGTTGCGGGCATATCCTCAGTAGGGGGTGTGCAAGAGGCAGCTGATCAATGTCTCTCTCTCATTGATGTTTCTAACTATCTCTCTCCCTTCCTCTCTGTACAAAATCAATAAAATATATTTTTTTAAAAATTTCAGTTCAGCCCAAGCCAATTTGGCTCAGTGGATAGCATATTGGCCTGCAGACCAAATGGCCCCAGGTTTGATTCTGGTCAAGGGCACATCCTCGGTTACAGG